GAACAGTGCTGTTGAGTTGTCCGATGGCAAGGCACAGTAAGAAGCATATGACCTGGAGGACACTCACTAGTATACTAACTTTTTGAGAAGAATCTACTCACCATCAGATGTGGTAGTGTGTGCCTGTAACCCTAGCACTTGGGTGACAGAGCTGGAGGGTTTCTACTAGTTCAAAGATAGCCTGGGCTATATAGGGAGACCTTGTCTCAAAAATATGAAATAGCAGGACCAGGAGGTAGTTTAGTGGCAGAGTGCTTGCCTAACATGTAGGAGGTCCTGGATTCAAACCCCAAAAACAAAAACAAAAACAAAGAAAATATAAAGGAAAATTTGTCCACAATCATAGCATTTATCAGACTTCTTATATTTTGTCAATACTTTAATCTCTTGTAGAATTTATTGTTATTCATAATGGAATCATCACCAACTACAAGACTTGAAAAAGTTTTTGGTAAGTAAAATGACCCCAGAAGACACCATCTTTGAGAATACTTCTGAGAGCCAGGGACATGCAACATTTCTTTAGACTGCTCAAGTAATTCCCAAGATAATCACAGGGTGTATGGCCTATTGTATTTCTCTCTGTTGACAGTGGAGCAGCTCTGATTTCTTGCGGGGTCATTTTGAGGGCTAACTGTGTGCTGTACTGAGACAGTGCCACCTCAGCTTTGTGGAGTTTCTACAGTGATGGGAACTCTCTGGACCTAACATAGTGGGAGCTGTGCATATGGGACTCCTGAACTTCTGTGACAGAGAAACCTGATTTTAAATTTAAATTTACATGGCCATGTATAACCAAAGACTCTTTACTCAACAGTTGAGGATCACCAAAGAATTGTTACTCATTATGAAACTAGTACTTTGAATATTATATATTCCCACTATATTTTAATTATTTATGATTTAATTCATATGAGGTATATATGTTAAGTGTATGGAGTTGTACTCAATAACATTTTGTTTCTCTATAATCAGACTTTGATTAAAATTAATCTTAAATTAATTGAATCATTTATTAAACTTATTATAAACTAATTTTAACTAAATTAATATTAATTTACATTTTGTGTAAATTCAGTATGGATTCAAAAAAAAGTTAGTGATTTGTAAGATTTTAGGGGCTGGTGAGATAACTCAGTGTTTGCCACTGAAACCTGATGGCATTGAGTACATTACCTGAAACCCACATGGTAGAAAGAGAAAACTGATTCCTCAAAGTTGTCCTCTAACCTTCAAACACACACTACGCACACACATATATTATGTGCACACAGGCAATTAGAAATTCATTTGGTTTTTGGGCAAAAAATTCTAGAAAATACTTGCATGGGGGAGTGAGAGATGGCGCGTTAAGAATATTTGTTGCTCTTGTAGAAGACCTGGATTTGATTCTCATTACCCAGATGGTGGTTAACAACTGTCTGTAACTCTAGTTTTAGGGGATCTGATGCCCTCTTCTGACCTCCAAGGGAACCAAACAACATTCATGCACAGGCACATATGCAGGCAAAACATCCACACATAAAAAAATATAAATCTAATAAAAAATCTTAAAAGACTAATATAAAGGAACCATTAAGTTAAAAAAGATTTGAACATTGTGTTTATTTAAATGTCTTCTTTTTTCTACTTGCAGGAAAGCAAAGGCTATGACTTTGAATCTGAAACAGATACAGAAACCATTGCTAAGCTTGTCAAGTACATGTATGACAACTGGGAAAGTCAGGACGTCAGTTTTACTACCTTGGTGGAGAGAGTTATCCAACAACTGGTATAAAACCATATTTTTTAAGATTACTGTTTCAGGATTGAGATAATGACTCCTCAGTAAAGCACTGGCAATGCAGGTTTGAGGACCAGAGTTCATATTC